CTCTGAGGAATGCCGTCTCCAAACAGGAAATGTGTTCTGACATAGTGCCTCTGATTCTGCTCCTGGTCCAAAAAACACAGGAACATGTTTTAGTGAAGTATAGATTTGTCTGTTTCTCCTGGAGGAGGGGGCAGTACAGTAAAGCTCGGCTACGTGACTTTCAAACCATTGAAGGGATTCACTTTGTGATAAAATCCATGTCCTGGTTCTATCTCTAGAGTTCATATAGTCTCTCTGACCTCCCCCTGGTCTCTCTCTGACCTCCCCATGGTCTCTCTCTCTGTTCTCTCTTACATGGTGATATCACATGGTCTGTACCTGGTCTGGGTTATCGGCTGGTGTCAAATCTGTCTTTCTCTCTGATCCCTCTCTGGTCTCTCTCTGGTCTCTCTATGAACTTCCCCCTGGTCTCTCTCACTGGTCTCTCTCTGGTCTCTCCCCCTGGTCTCTCTCCCTGGTCTCTCTCACTGGTCTCTCACTGGTCTCTCTCCCTGGTCTCTCTCCCTGGTCTCTCTCTCTGGTCTCTCCCCCTGGTCTCTCTCCCTGGTCTCTCTCACTGGTCTCTCCCTGGTCTCTCTCCCTCGTCTCTCTCTATGGTCTCTCCCCCTGGTCTCTCTCTCTGGTCTCTCTCTCTGGTCTCTCTCTCTGGTCTCTCTCTGGTCTCTCTCTCTGGTCTCTCTCTCTGGTCTCTCTCTGGTCTCTCTCTCTGGTCTCTCTCTGGTCTCTCTCTCTGGTCTCTCTCTCTGGTCTCTCTCTGGTCTCTCTCTCTGGTCTCTCTCTCTGGTCTCTCTCTGGTCTCTCTCTCTGGTCTCTCTCTGGTCTCTCTCTCTGGTCTCTCTCTCTGGTCTCTCACTGGTCTCTCTCCCTGGTCTCTCTCCCTGGTCTCTCTCTATGGTCTCTCCCCCTGGTCTCTCTCTCTGGTCTCTCTCTGGTCTCTCTCTCTGGTCTCTCTCTCTGGTCTCTCTCTATGGTCTCTCTCTGGTCTCTCTCTCTGGTCTCTCTCTGGTCTCTCTCTCTGGTCTCTCTCTGGTCTCTCTCTATGGTCTCTCCCCCTGGTCTCTCTCTCTGGTCTCTCTCTCTGGTCTCTCTCTCTGGTCTCTCTCTGGTCTCTCTCTCTGGTCTCTCTCTCTGGTCTCTCTCTCTGGTCTCTCTCTGGTCTCTCTCTCTGGTCTCTCTCTCTGGTCTCTCTCTCTGGTCTCTCTCTCTGGTCTCTCTCCCTGGTCTCTCTCTCTGGTCTCTCTCTGGTCTCTCTCTCTGGTCTCTCTCTATGGTCTCTCCCCCTGGTCTCTCTCTCTGGTCTCTCTCTCTGGTCTCTCTCTCTGGTCTCTCTCTGGTCTCTCTCTCTGGTCTCTCTCCCTGGTCTCTCTCTCTGGTCTCTCTCTGGTCTCTCTCCCTGGTCTCTCTCCCTGGTCTCTCTCTTACATGGTGACATCACATGTGTGCACCTGGTCTGGGTTATCTGCTGGTGTCACATCCGTCTCTCTTTGGGTCGAGCTCTTCCTGTTTGTTGATAATTATGGTGTGATCTCATTAGGAGCTCTGCACACGGCACCAGCTGGACCAGTGCGTCTCAAGCAGCGGTGCAGGACCAGCAGGAGGGATGGCCCCTCCCTGATGTATTTGAGACCATGTGTATAAGAACTATTGTTATGGTGTTGATTCTCTTTTTGTCCCAAACGTCACTAAATGTTAAAGACAAAATATGACAGATTATTTCTGTCTCTCTCTGGTCCCTCTCTGGTCTCTCTGGTCTCTCTCTGGTCTCTCTGGTCTCTCTCTGGTCTCTCTCTGGTCTCTCTCTGGTCTCTCTCTGGTCTCTCTCTCTGGTCTCTCTCTGGTCTCTCTCTGGTCTCTCTCTGGTCTCTCTCTCTGGTCTCTCTCTCTGGTCTCTCTCTCTGTTCTCTCTCTCTGGTCTCTCTCTCAGGTCTCTCTCTCTGGTCTCTCTCTGGTCTCTCTCTCTGGTCTCTCTCTGGTCTCTCTCTCTGTTCTCTCTCTCTGGTCTCTCTCTCTGGTCTCTCTCTGGTCTCTCTCTGGTCTCTCTCTGGTCTCTCTCTCTGGTCTCTCTCTGGTCTCTCTCTCTGGTCTCTCTCTCTGGTCTCTCTCTGGTCTCTCTCTCTGGTCTCTCTCTCTGGTCGCTCTCTCTGGTCTCTCTCTCTGGTCTCTCTCTGGTCTCTCTCTATGGGTCTCTCCCCCTGGTCTCTCTCTCTGGTCTCTCTCTCTGGTCTCTCTCTCTGGTCTCTCTCTGGTCTCTCTCTGGTCTCTCTCTCTGGTCTCTCTCTCTGGTCTCTCTCTGGTCTCTCTCTCTGGTCTCTCTCTGGTCTCTCTCTGGTCTCTCTGGTCTCTCTCTGGTCTCTCTCTGGTCTCTCTCTGGTCTCTCTCTGGTCTCTCTCTCTGGTCTCTCTCTGGTCTCTCTCTGGTCTCTCTCAGGTCTCTCTCTCTGGTCTCTCTCTGGTCTTTCTCTGGTCTCTCTCTGGTCTCTCTCTGGTCTCTCTCTCTGGTC